GGGGCAGGAGGCACCCCCCCAGCATCTCTGAATGGGTGATGGGGTGGGATGGGGGGGATATTCCCCTCAGAGGCGAGCGCTGGCCCTGGTCCCTCTTGGGACAGCGGAAGGTCCCTAGGGTGGTGTCCCAGGTCCCATCACCCCCACTCCTCAGTCCCAATGGGCCACGGGCCACTCCAGAGCAGACCCCGGTGCTCCAGGGTGCCAGGCAGCAGGGCCAGCCTGGCTCTTGGGGCGGGGGGACACACAAGCCATCCCAGTGGCACCCGGATGGGCCATGGCAGTGGTTGCAGTGGCTGGAGGGGGATGCTGGGGCATAGTTGCTGTGGGATGGCCCCTCTGGGCCATCCTTGATAGGATGGATGGGGATGGATTCCCCTGGATGCTGCAGCTTTGGGGACCAGGGCGTCACCAGCACTGAGCAGTCTGGCTCCCGAGCATCCCTAGGGATGGCCCCATTGCATTTCCTAGGTTACTGCCTTCTATAGGGGATTTTTCCAGCTTGGAAAGGAACCTGGTCCCTGCCTGGTCCCGCCGCCTGGGGCTGGGGGGGACTTCCAGCCCTGGGCAGTAGGACCAGGCGAGGACCAGGCTGAGTGAGGCTGAGCTCACAGCGGGGCTGGAGGGAGGCTGCGTTGTGCCAGGGGGTGAGAGGTTGGGAGCCAGGGTCCCTTTGGCACCCAGTGCCACAGCCAAAACAACCCACGACAGAGCTGGCCTGGCCAGGCAGGAGGTCGTTAACACTGAACCCTACTGATGCCCAGCAGCCGGGGGCCATGTTGCTGCCCAAGCGAGCAGCCTGGGATGAAGGAGGGGCAGTGTGAGAGGTGATGGAGACCTGTGGGCAAGGTCCAGCATGGGTGTCCCCTGGGACACATGTTGGGGCTGCTGGGGGGTGGATCACTCGTGTGTGCCGGCCTGGCACTGCCGCGCTGGCAGGGGTTAACACTGGACTGTTCCACTCGGATGGTTCAGGCAGTGAAGGGAGGAGGAAGAGGAGGAGGAGGAGAAGGAGGAGGAGGAGGCAGAGGAGGAGGAGGAGGAGGAGAAGGAGGAGGAAGATGTCGCCCATCGATCTGTCATTTCTCTTTTCCAGCCAGGATGGGGGACTCCGCTAGCACCAAGCTGGGTCGGCGGTGAGGCGGGGGGGTACGGAGGAAAAGAATGGAGAGGGGGGGGCGAAGGTGAAGGCAGCCCCCCCCTCCCAAAATATCCCCCACCCCATCGGGCCATCGCCATGGCGACGAATTTTAACGACATCATCAAGCAAGGCTACGTGAGGATGAAGAGCAAGAAGCTGGGCGTGAGTGGGGGTCTTGGAGAATGGGGGGTGGGGGTGCACCCGTGGATTTGGGGTGCCAGTCACCTCCCATAGCAACCAGCACCCCTGGTTTTGGGTTGAATAAGCAGCATTTTGGGGGCTGTGGGGGCAGTGGGGGCAGGGGCAGGCCACTTGTTGGTACACAAATCATCCAGCAACCCCAGGGGCCCGGATCCTGCACTGGCCGGATCCTGCCCGGGGTGGCACCCACTCACCGGACACTGGTCATGACGGGGATTTGGGGGGGTGATTGCTGGGTGCAAATTAGGGGGGTGCTGGAGTGCAGCACCCGTAGGTGGGGGTCAGGGGGTTTGATTGCTCGCCTCCATCGCTTGGAGCTGGTGGCAACGAGCATGCTGGGTAATTTCACGCTAATTAGGGAGAACAAAGAGGGAACGGGCTTGGGGGGGGGGCATGCTTGGGGACAATGGACCTGCTACGCCCAGAGGCCAGGGCTGCGGGATAGGGGACAGGGAGATGCCGGGTTGGGGGTACCCTTGGGAGCCTTGCCCATGTTCATTAATTAAGCTCTGTAATTAGCATTGGCGGGTGGTGTGTGATGGCAGCCCTGGGATATCCCCATCCCCAGTGTCCCCTCCTGTCCCCAGGGTCAGCAGGACCAGGCAGGGGTCCTGGGGAAGGGGATGGGGACATGGGGAACAGGGTGGGGACGGGGACCCCCACCTGCACCATGGCAGCCACTGGTGCTCTCTGTCTGGCAGATCTACCGGCGGTGCTGGCTGGTCTTCCGGAAATCCTCCAGCAAAGGGCCCCAGCGCCTGGAGAAGTACCCGGATGAGAAGTCGGCGTGCCTGCGCGGGTGCCCCAAGGTGAGGGGGTGCGGTGGAGAGGTGCTGGGGTGCCAGAGCAGGTCCCTTCTCACCTAAACTTGCTGGCTGTCGCCCCATGCACTCCGGTGGGGGATGCAGCTGGGTCTGGGTGCAGCCAGGGTCTGGGTGCAGTGGCAACTGGGGTCTGGGTGCCACAGAGGCCAGGGTCTGGGTGCAACAGTGGCCAGGTTTGGGTGCAGCAAGGGCCAGGTTTGGGTGCAGCAGGGGCTGGGTGCTGGGTGCAGCAGCGGCTGGGGTCTGGCTGCCACTGGGCTCTGGGTGCAGCAGCCAGGATCTGGGTGCCACGGCAGCCAGGTCTGGGTGCAGCAGCAGCTGGAGTCTGGGTGCAGTGGGGCTGGGTTTGGGTGCAGTCCTCAGTGCCCCCCACACCCCTCCGCAGGTCACCGAGATCAGCAATGTCAAGTGCATCACCCGGCTGCCCAAGGAGACCAAGAGACAGGCCGTGGCCATCGTTTTCACCGATGACTCTGCCCGGACCTTCACCTGCGATTCGGGTATGGGGCAGTGCCCAGGGGAGCCAGGCTGGGGGTGCCAGGTGGGCCACCCCAGCTTGGCCGGGGTCGCCCAGGGACTGCCGTGGTGCCTTGCAGAGCTGGAGGCGGAGGAGTGGTACAAGACACTGTCGGTGGAGTGCCTGGGCGCCCGCCTGAACGATATCAGCCTGGGGGAGCCCGACCTGCTGGCGCCTGGTGTGCAGTACGAGCAGACTGGTGAGCGCGTGGCGGCGGGGTGCTTGCTCAGGGCTTGGCCTCGCTACGCCCCCCCCGAATTAATTTATTTTATATTTTTTTCTCCTCTCCAGACCGGTTCAACGTGTTCCTCCTCCCCTGCCCCAACCTGGACGTTTACGGCGAGTGCAAGCTGCAGATCACCCACGAAAACATCTACCTCTGGGACACGCACAACCCCCGGGTGAAGCTGGTCTCCTGGCCCCTCTGCTCCCTGCGCCGCTATGGGCGTGATGCCACCCGCTTCACCTTTGAGGCCGGACGGTGAGATGTCACCCTTGGCTGGGATGGGGACCACCACTGGGTGCCTTCATCCTGTTGGGCGCACCAGAAGGTGGCACTGCTGCCATCACCCCAGGGCAGGCCTGACACCAAGGTGATGGCCACAGCCTGCCTAGGGTGCCCCACGGCTGGGGAGGTTTGGTGCTGGAGCTGGTCCCAGCTCAGCACCACGGAGGGGACATGGGGACAGCACTTAAAGCATGGGAAGCTGGGCCAGCTGCCACCTGGGGGGGGTATTTTTTACCATCCCTCGGCCTGGGGACCCCAGTGACACCCTGTACCCCATCCCCACAGGATGTGTGACGCGGGGGAAGGTCTCTACACCTTCCAGACACAGGAGGGTGAGCAGATCTACCAGCGCGTGCACAGCGCCACATTGGCCATCGCCGAGCAGCACAAGAGGGTCCTGCTGGAGATGGAGAAGAATGTCAGGGTGAGCTCCAGCCCACCCCAGGGACACGGCTGGGGAGGGGCTCAGAGCACCCTGTGTCATCCTCACTCCCTTCTTGTCCTCTGCAGCTGCTGAACAAGGGCACTGAGCACTTCTCCTACCCTTGCACTCCTACCACCATGCTGCCCCGCAGCGCCTACTGGCACCACATCACCGGCTCCCAGAACATGGCCGAGTCCTCCAGCTACGCCGGTGAGTGTCCCCATCCCCCGCTGAGGAGCCACCACTCCTCCGGCCCTCGAGGAGTCCCCCCGCCTTGTGCAAGCCCACCCTCTGCTTCATCCCCAGGGGAGGCGTATGCGGGCGCCCAGGCCAGCTCGGACACCGACCTCCTCAACAGGTTCATCTTGCTGAAGCCAAAGTCCTCCAAAAGCGACAAGCCTGAAAGCAGGGAGCCCACATCGTCCCCATGAGCCAGCAGGGGGGAACACAGCAGGGGTCCCCGTTTTCTTCCCCGAGGGGTGGCAAGGACACAGGCAGCCACCCCTCCGAGTCCCCAGGGAGACCCAGCTGGGGCATCCTCCATGCCAAGACCTTGGGGGAGCAGGCACTGGCTCGCGCCCTGGCCTGACATTAGCGGAGGTGACAGCTGGCTCAGCCTTGACTGGCTTGAAATATATATTGAATATCGGTATGATAAGAGATTTTTCCTTTTTACACAGACGCAAAGTTCATGACTGCCGAAGAGCCCTTGGGCAGAAATGCTCAGAGGTTTTTGACTCTTAGGGATTCAGCTGGGAGGTGGGGGAGGGGGGTCAAGAAGTTTGGTGTGTTTTCTGCGAGGGGCGGGGAGGCTGGAGCATCACCCTGCCATGGGGATGGAGCGGGAGCAGCACTGGAGGATGCAGCTGTGCCAGGCTGAAGGCATGGGGCACCAGCATCTCGCCCTCCTCATGAAGAGTAGGGTGCTCCTGGGGTCACCCCTGACCTGATTTTTGCACTTCTTGAAGCTATTTAAACACTCGCTGTAGAATTGAGATGTCTCAGGAGAAACTGGTTTTTCTTCCAGGGGGGTCAGCTGGGGTGAGCGGCCGGGCAGAGCCGAGCCCCCCCAGCTTTCCTGGGCTGCTCTCACCACAGCACCCCTTGCTCCTCCACCCGCAGCTGCTTCCCCCGGCCATGCCCCTGGTTTTTCTGCTGGTGGGCAACCCAGGGACAGGTTTTGGCCAGTAGCATCTGTCCCTTGAGGGGCAGCTTTGCAGATATAAAAAGTCCCTGGGCAGTGAAGCCCATGCTGATGAGGGAAGAGCCGTGTTTCTCCGTGCACCCCCATTCCCATCGTCCTCGCTCCCTCCTCACTGGCCGGTTGAAAGCCCTCACCGAGGGGGGCAGCTGGGCTTCATGTGCTGAACTCAAAAGCAATTGATTTTTTCTAGTTCTCCTATTTATTGACCTCCTTTAGAAGGGCTATCTTTTTATTGCCGTGCAAACTTTGGTGTTTCTTTGGAGTCTTCTTTCGGTCTGGGTTGGGTGGTCGGTGGTTTTATTTCCGCCCTTAAAGCTCCAGGTCTATGCTTTGGGGACGGGGAGTGTCGTGACGTGGGAACCTGTGGTCTGTAAATACTGTGTCTTGGGTTTGTGTAGCTTGTGGCTGAGGCTGGGGAGCTCCTGCAGGGACAGCAGGATGGAGAAGGGCTGCTCCCTGCTCTCTGCAGCACAGCTGGGTGCAGAGGGGCTCATCAGCAACCCAGCACCACCCAGTAGCACGTCCTTCCCCGGCTGAGAGGTGTAACCTGCTCCCTTTTCCTGGCTACACATCTCAGCTGGAAAAGATTTAACATTTATTACCAAAAATGTTTGAGTTTTCTTTTTTTTTTAAGGAGTTGCTCAATGAATAAACAACCCTTATCCACCCTTCCTGTTTGTCTGTTCCATCCAAATGCACTCGGGAAGCACAAGTGGGAGTAGCGCCTGCCAGAGAGAAAAATGCTGATGGGGGGAGATTTCCTAACATTCCTGGCAGCGCGCTTGGCTGAAAGCTTTGTTCTGCCTCCAGCCATGGCCAGGACATTTCAAGTGAAGCCCTGAAACCACTGGGGAGGGAAGAAGGGTGGAGCAAGTTGCCACCCTCCATCAAACAACCCCGAGTGAAACAGGATGCCAGCACCCCACTGTCACCCCTCACCTCCAGCCGCTCGCGGCTCCAGGGATGCGCCAGGGCACTGGTGGCTCCAAATCCCCAGGCAAAGGAGTTTCATAGAATTATTAAGGCTGGAAAAGACCTCTGAGATCATCCAGTCCAACTGTTTCAAGCTTCTCCATCTCCCAGCTCTTCCAGAATCGTGCCAGTTTGGTTATCCATGCCATGACTGACTGGCAGAGCACGGGCCTCATGGCAAGACAGCCATGCCAGCCAGGGCAGCGCTCCCTCCAAGGACGGGGACAGCTCTTGGGGAGCCATGGCGCAGCCGGCTGTGCCACGGCAAGGACACCGAAGCAGCAGCCCGGCTGCAGCAGCTCTTCCCTGGAGGAGAAAGTAGCGCTGACTCAGGCTGCTCTCTCCAGTTCAGGCTGAGCACCCATCCCTGCTCCCCGAGCCATTCCCATGCTTCACGTCCACGCTGGGATGAGCGCAGTGGCACACACACCTTCCCCTCCCTCCCAGCCACGACGGTAAGGAAGAGGCAGATCTTTCCAGGAAAGTGCCACCGAGAAGCTGATCCCAAGTCCTGCTGGGCGCTAACAGACGGGAGGAGAAAGGATGACCCGGGCAATTGCCGCAGCCCTTCAGCCACTGCCACAGTCGTCACAGTTTGGGACCAGCATCAAGCTCCAGCCCAGCACACGACCCACCTTGGGGCTGTGGGCACACTGGAAGCTGTCAGCCAGGGGTTATTAATGACAGACTCCCTGCCATCCCAGCTCCTGACATGAAGATTATATAGCACATGGGTAGAGTCTGCTCCAAAGGAGTCTTTAAATACAGCTAAGCCTGCCTGACCCATCTGGGCTCCCCTGCAGCACTGCCTTCTGCAGCATCTCACTTACCAGCCCTGCTTCAAACAGCTGCTTTAAATGTAGCGCTGGATCGGTAAATGACGGGCTACCTGCTGGAGGGTGTTCTGGTCTCCTTAGGAGATAATGTCAAGAGCAGCAATCAGCAGTAGAGAGCAATGCTCCCTCCAAAGCAGATCTCATTAAGTTAATGTCTATTGAAGACAAGTAAATGATGTGACATCTCCTCCTGCAGCCATGGATGAGCTTTCAGGGATGACAGAACACAGTGGGTAAGGCTTTATTCAGCACAGTAAGGAACAGACATGCAAATAAGGTAGGGTTGTGTAACCAAGGTACATGCTTCCCAATCCCAAACGCCACATGGCCAGAATCCAAAACTCTGTCCTAAAACTCTGGGATCACTTAGAGAAAAAGCCTGTCCTAGCAAAGATGCTCACCGATTCCCCTCCTGCTTTACCCTACACATTACGATGGCTTTCCCTGGGAAGGGGGGCCAAGGAAGAGGTGTCATCAACCAGCAGAGCTGGGTCAGGAAAAGCAGGAGATGGGGCAGCAAAAGCCTTGGTCCAGAGCGCTGGAACCTTCTGCATCACTCACACCTGAGCTCTCTCTTGCAAGGGGCCACCTCAGTTTATAGTGAGAACATCGCTCTGAATCTCATGGCTCAGCTGGGTCTGGAGGTCGCTCAGTTTCTTCTTCAGGCCAGACAGCGCGGAGAGAACGATGGTCTCAGGGCGCAGAGAACCACAGGACTCCACGTTGTAATAAAACCTGAGGTTACAAGTCAGGGGAATAAGTTGACATCTGCTCTGCGAGGAGGTACAAAACCAGAGAGCACCCACAGAGCAGTTCCAGCCCATCCTGACCCACCACAGGGAGATCTGCTGGGAATCCCAACCATCAGCATCATTCACCTCCCAGCCGGACAACAGCCAGTGCTGCCCCTTTACAACCATCACACCAACACTCGTGACTCCACAGGCTGCAAGAGCATTTCTGAGATTTTCTCCATTCAGCACTGTGACCTGCAAGCCAGCACAGAGCCCCACGCCAGGGAGTTAGACTGGCTGCAGGCACTTCTGTAGTGCAAATAACCCAGAAGAGGGGGTACCACCAGCAATCAGAGCACAAGAGACCCACACAGGTGAATAGATATCCTAAACCATTTTCCCCCAAAGGCCTCACACTTCACTGAGTGCTGCACTGCCCTACTTGGTAACATGAACTCAGGAGAGCTGTCTAGTATCTCCCAGAGGGGAAAACCTGCCAGGCCTGGGCATATCACCAGTTAACTCCAACTTCTGCCCTGCTGTTCAGGGAACACCAGCTTCCTGGGTTGGCAAACTTCAGCACAGAGTAGACACGTTTGCATTAACAAAAGCCGACAAGATGCACCCAGCCTGTCCCCCCCCATTTTCTAGCTGAGGCAGCGCATTCAGCTTCCTACCTCTCTGGCTTCCCATTGGGGTCATAGGGAGCCTGAGCATCCTCCTCGTCAATCTCCGAGTACTCACTTTTGGGCCTGGAATCAAAAAGCAGGAAAAGGTTAGCAGGGAGCCCACATTCTAGCCTGGTCCCACAGCACCCAGGCACTCTGCGGCACTGTTTGGCCCCAGAGAGTGAGCACTGGGGCTCACGTCCAGCAGGCAAAGGAGCAGCCATCAAACACCAAGTCACAGAAAAAAGCTCAGTCCCACGTTGCCCTTTCTAGCTCCTCACTAATGCCACGCAGTCACCCAGCAGAGCTGGAGGATAAGGATCAGCCCCGCTCTGCCCAAACTCAGTGAGCCCTGTGTGGAGTACTGTGGCTCCATCCACCTACACTGGCACAATCTGGCAAGTACTTACAGCAAAGGCATGCCGATGCCTGAAGGGACTGTGTTCATGGAGCCTGGACGCTGTTCATGGAGCCATGCACCTTGTGTTATCTTTTCTTTCTACTTTTCACTGGCCCAGGAAAACACCAGAGCACTCCAGCACTCAGTTTGTGCAGCACAGCTGAGATGGGAAGGCCCAGTCAGCTTGTGCCCAGCAGGGAACAATCTCCTGTACTTCAAACACCAGCTGCATCAGTGAGCCCCGTCCTGATGTCCTGCACCTCCACTCCTCTACAGACATCGCTACCAAAATTACTGCAATACCCATGCATCAGCTAGGCCAACACATCTTTCTACCCGTTGCATCCCTTGGCTTATCATCATACCAGACAGACTGTTTAAAAGCGCTTAATCCATGTAAGAAAACCCAAAGCCTTGAGCTGTCTGAGAAGCCAGCACAGAAAATCCCATGCTCACCAAGGTCTCCTGCTGGCCTTCCTCTGCCCCAGCGATGTCAAGAAAGGCTGATCCTAGCACCTTACCATCAGCTGCCTTAAATAAAACTGCACTTCCCAAACAAATCCTCTGTCTGTAACACACCACTGAGAGAGATAAAGCGTTAATGGAGCTGGGTCTTCACATTACTTCCAAAATCATCCATGACCAAAAACAGGGCAGAGGTTTCCACCATCACGATAGCTGCTTTGAGAGTCCAGCTGCGTGCCAGTGCTCTGCCAACAGCCTCAAAAAAGCAACTAGCATGTAAAACCAAGCCAAAAATAATAGCTAGCCTTGGATAGCAGAGGCCTTTGTCTCTGTATTGTCTTCACGGGGAATCAGATGAACTTGGAAAGACAGACGTATCATCAGGGAACAGGCAGCTCCAATGGCAATCTTTCTTCGTGATTTTTACAACTTTTACATGTATTTTGTCAAGAACTTCTCAAAAACTGTTTCCAGTTACCCAGTCTGTTGTATAACACACCAGGTTTCTAAAGACGCAGCCGACTGCCACCGAACAAAAGAATCCACATTTGCAGCTACCTTGGGCCACCCAGCCAGGGAAGCACCTCATTGCCAAGGTACATGTGCTCAGCCACGCACCTGGGGCTGTTCTCTGCAACACTGACGTCTCCAAAAGCCCAGACTCTCCTAAATTCACACTGTGACAAAAAGGCAGTAAACCCAATAAAGCCTCCTCTGTCTGTCCAACTCAAAGCAGTATTCCAAGTCTGTCACTTCATCAGTGTCAAAGACTTACTATCTAGCACTACAGAAACTAAACCAGAGAATTTTTACAGCAACAAAATAAAGCCTAAGATTATTTCAAATCCTGATTTGAAATTCCACATCAGAGAGACATTCTTGCTTCTCATGCATCCAATCTATCACTCAGACAATCAACTAAACTTTGGGGCAATTTACCTGACACAGATCATTTGGAAACTTCAAAACTATCCAGTTCCACCCCCAAAACTGCTGGTGACAAAGGACAGGCCGACACATGAACTCTTGTGACATGCTCCTGACTACAAAACTGCTGAGCAGCATCCTCCTCGGCTCTGCACCACCTCACCACAACTGGCCTCTCACAGACTTTCCCCCCCCCGACAGCCTAGTCTGTAGCTGGCAGTTCCCAAAGCCTAGCTTCAGTCCACATGTACAGATCAACACTAAGGAAAATGCCCATTTCCAGATTTCTGGCACTACCAGCCAGCCTGGTTCCTACTGCAGATCCCAGAGCACCACCCTGACGAAGTGCTGAAGGAGCTGAACGCCTGGCATGTCCCGTTCTCACCCAGACTGACTGAACCGGACCCACAAACGTGCCCTACAGAGCCCAACAAAGCCAAACGGGGTTCGCTCCTTCCATCTGTAAAACAGGGCTGGGATCTGCCTGCAGCCATCCCAGCCCATTTCATGCATGTTACGGATTCACTTGCAACTCCACCCTCAGCGACAAAAGGCTTCTCAAGTCTCCCGAGTGCAAACCTAGCCGCACAGGATCTCCATGACAGCTCCTGAGTAGAAAGCCTCTAGCAGTCCAGCTGAGGTGTGAAATCTAGGCTAACTGCACCCCCAGGAAGCTCATTTACTGATAGCTAACTTAGCAAGGGACAGCGTAAAGCCACACTCTGTGATGTGTCCAAGCGCCCAGGCTCAAAGTGGACAGTGTGGAGGTACAGCAGCCCACTACCTGCCTGCTACTGCTTGCAGCCATTTGCACAGTCAAATTTGGCAGCACAAGGCCTGGCAGCAACAGGAAGAAAATGCACTGAGCCCCTTCTGCCACTCAGCCTCCTCTCCAGCTGCAGCTCTGCTCAGGCTTTTGTTCCCACTTGCTCAGCCCTGGCTTCTGTGGTCCCTGCACCAAATCCTGCTCATGTACCGAGGTCTTCCTGATCTTGAGTGCAGCTCTGGCTGCTGCCCTGCTGTTACAGCAGCATATCCACCATCCCCTCTAGTCCCTGCTCTCAGCCTGCCTTGGCTAAAATACCTGGTTCCTCGCTCTGCCGCTGCCTCCAGCGTGCTCGATGACAGGATGTCTGCTAGGTGGTCACTGGGATGCAGAGCCAGGAGCAGCTCAGGTATCTACTCATGGAAAAGTGCTGTTCGGTAAAGTCCTTGCCCTGACCACAGCAGGGCCGCAGCTTTCCAAAAGCAAAATCATGTCACTTTTAGATGAGACACAGTGTGCTACCGGTGCAGAATATGTCATGGCAGAGGAAAGGGCCAACGAGGAAAACTCCACTGCTGGAGCTCCAGCAGTGAGATGTATGGGTGAAATCAGAGCCACACACTGGGCTTCCTCAAACAAACAGGGCTGCAAAATCAGCCTTGCAACCTCACCGTCTGCTCTTTGCTCTCATAGCAACCTCTTCTACCTTGCATGGATCTATTCCTTCCTCAGATCTTACCCTGATCGACATACCACTTGCATAGGGAAGAAGTAACAGGAACTACTTGTGGGAAAGAACATGAAAGCAAGCGAAGTAAAACAGCAGTGACAGTATGTGAGGAGAGGACAAGAGATGGCCACAAACCAGTCCACCTTGCATACAGCTGCAACCAAGTGACTGGCTTTGGTACCTTTAACACAGAAACAGAGTCTGTGCAAGGGGAAGCAACAGGCACGCTCACAATCAGCGACCCAAATTATCCCCAGGGCTGAAATGTAGGTGCCTACTGGACAATCTTTTCCAGTCCCTCCAGACAGACATCAGGACATACCACTCCTCTGGTTTGGGGTACACGGTGTGCCTCAGTGCGTTGTCTGGGTCATACTCGAAGGCTACGCCTGCCGTGGGGTTCCACTTGGCATGCTCCTTGCCAAAGCCCTTCTTGGCATAGGCTCGCAGTCTCAGCTCTTGGCCCTTCCGCAGCTTCACAATGAGGATGTCTGCGGAAAAGCACACACCCATTTGAGAAGGCTGCAGAAGAGAAATGAGTGTGCAGATCACACTAGGGCAAAGGCAGGAATTTTTAGTGCCCAGGAAGATGTCACCAGAAGCCAGGGTTCACTTCGATTCTTAGAAGGGCTCATCTGTGTCCTCAGCAAAGCTGGGAAACATCTTGCTAAGTAAAAAGGAGTTGCACGTATACCCAGAGGCACAGCTCAGGCCCCAGGCAACAGCAGACAGCACAGCATTTTGCATCTTTGCTGCCTCTAAGCTCTCACAAGGAGAGAGAAGCACCCTCTGACACAGGACTTTAGTTCTGGGGATAACCTTCAAGTGGCATTAAGATAAAACGCTAACGCCACTGATGGAGTGATGCTGGTGTCTCTCAACTGCCAGCTTTACAGCTGCCTTACAGTTACACAGCTAGTAAAGGAAAAATGAGTTCAAAGAGCCTGAAAGAAAAATTCGTTTCCTCCTCCAGCTCTTACTCCCAGTGGACTTACCATCCTGCTCCACATAGTCATTGGGGTCATTGTCTCTGCTCCGAGATGTTACCTGCAGAAGAACAAAAGCAAGCGAATTAATGGCAAGATCAATTTTTTTCCCCACATCAGATAGCAGTTGCCTACAAAAATTAGAGACTGCAGAGAGCCACTCCAGAGTGACTTACAGCAACAAATCCAGCCCACCCTCTTTAACGGAAATCGGGACAATTCAGGCAGCTGCAGCTAGGTACACGATACATCACTCCACCAGCCTGCTAGCCTCCCGAGCTGCTCTCCCCCACAGGACGGAGAGTGCTCCAGCCCAGTGCCACTGCGTGGTTCTGTGACACAGCCCAAGGTCACTCCCACGACTGCTGGCAGGTGACACACAGCATTCGCAGCACCTCAGCTGAAGCAAGCAAGAAACAGTGGGCTCCAGCTAGGCTTTAACCAGGCAAACACTGTCACCAGCCACCAGAAACAGCCCCCAGGTTGTGGTGACATCCAGATGCGGCCTCAATAGCATTTTAAAACACTCTCCATTAAGGCCCTTTGCTGCTTTGGCTCTGCCAACCCTTCCCAAGGTGACTGGGCAAGAGCCATTTGGCAGCAGTGCCCTGGCCCGGGCTCCTCACACCTTGCTGTGTTGAGAGCCAAGAACCAGAAAACCAGAGACCTCTGGACTGCTGCCAAGCCTTCGAAGAGACTGACCTTGCCCGAGCCCTGGCAGCAAGCCGGCAGAAGGCAGTGACATGGCAGCACGACAGAAGCACACGCACTCCTGGGTGTTCGACGCAAGATGGAAGGGCTACACTAAAGCCTCCCAAGAGTTTGAGATGAGGGATGCCAGATGAGGCTTTAACAAGGCCATACTGCTTTGACACACCATCACACAGCAAATGAAGGACAACAAGGCGAAGAAGAGGAGGGCATTGGTACACACTGCTGTTTCTGCAGATATTCCTGCTTTGCCCTCCCATTATGTTTTAAGTAGTAAGGGCTTTAGGCAACGTGAAACACGCCTGAAGGCCTTGTTTTGTCCACGTCCCATGTGTTTGCCAGCCCCGCCTCCACAGGAACATAGAGAGGGGACTCACTGACAAGCAAAGGGATTTCACTGACCGGTATGACCCGGGGGTTGTTGGAGATGAGATCGCGGGACGTGACATGACGAGTCTGGTCTTCATTGCACCGGACATCAAGGGTGAACTCCACAGAGCACTCCGGACAGAACTCATCACACGTGCAGTCCTGGGACAGACACAGGTCAAGATCTTTACGCCAGACCTCTCCCAGCAAGAGATTAGTAGCACTTCCCATCAGATCAGACACCCACCACTATCAAAATAAGTACCCACGATATTTTGCTCGACTCACTCTGGAATATTGCATCTTATCCACAATGTCATCGCTGGTGAGTGGGATGAGACCTGTGGGAAGAAGGAAATTGGGGAAATGCCTGAGTGAGACCATTGGAGCACCCACCCTCCTGCCAAGACGGGCAGAGGGAGAGCAGTCTCCTGACAAAGCTGCTTCAGCGTCTCCAAACTGATTTCACCCACGATCTCTGCCATGCTGCATGTCTTCATCTTCCTCCCCATGCCCATCACTCACCCAGCCTGTGTGCAATGAATTCATCATGGAGCACAGAGGAGTTGGCGTCTATCTGGACCCAGTCAATGGCTACAGAGAGGAAAAAGTCACAAGCTGAGAAATATTTCTGTGGGGAAAAGTCAAGCAGTTCACGAGGACATGGAAAACGTTACGGAGACTACAGTGAAGCTGAGACAGCATCTGGTAATACATAGTACTGGCTAAACAGGGGTAAGGTGAGCGGAAGGCAGCTTGGAGATGGCAGGGAAAATGGAGAAGTGATGAGAGCAACGGGATGGCAGCCCAAGGGACCGTGACCCAGGTAAGCAACAGGCGGTACCTATGATGGGGACTTCTGCAATGAAGACTCTTCGAATTGAATTTGCCACCCTGAGGGAGAGAAACACCCGTGTTTAAGGAACATGGAGCTTCATGACGCACCGGCCTGCCTGCGGAGACACGCGAGGGGTCGCAGGCCGGGGCTGAGGCCCGGGCTTTGCCTCGGAGGCCCCGACCGGGCCTGCAGCAGGGCTGCGTGCTGGCAGGAGGCCGCGGCCCGAACGGGGCTATCCCGCGGCCCGGCCCGCTTTCCCCCGGCGGGCTGCACCCCCCCACCCACGGCGAGGGAGGCAG